GCTGTCGAATATACTGGTTTAATCGACAGCTAATGGCTATCGAATATAACTTGTTAAAATTATAAAGATGGCTACGAAATTTTGTCGATAATAAGTATATTCGACAGAAAGTATCTGTCGATTTAAACTAGTATATTCAACAGTTAAAATTTCTGTCGAATATACTGATTATCGACTGCATTTTATATGACATACTTGGCTGTCGATTATGTCTGTCGATTAAGACATAATTGACAGAAAGACCTCTATATTCGATAGAAAATTTTGTCAAATATACCTTGTTTTCCAGTAGTGACTGAAAAAATCTCCCTTTTGGTCCTTACTGTTAAAAAATCCAATCTCATTTTAGTCTTTCTGTTAAAATTTGGTTGATATGATAGGTTAATTAACGAAATCACTTGATTATTTTTTATACAAATGATATTATAAATGATAGGGAAAGTACGTGGATGCCACATGTACAAATCGAAAATAGCAATGCTAGGGCCACTTGCCTCTTGCACTCTTTGGCCAACACTTCCCTTTTTATTGGGCCACGTAAGCTTGTTTCTTGCTTTGTAGTTCAACCTCTTCCAAACCATAACAACGTGGCCCAATAAAAATGAAGGTGTTGGCCGAAGAGTGCAGGAGGCAAGTGCATTAGCACTCCTCAATTAAAAATTTTATATTTTAATTCATGAATTAAATGATTTTAAATAAGATTAATTTTAATTTCTTCATCTTCTTCTTTCTCCTCGTTCTTATCCTAGTCCTCATCCTCATCCTTAGCATCATCATGTCATTAGCATCTTGTTCGTCATCTTTTTCATCATCCTAGGTTGCTCGCAGAACCCCTTTGTTGGGTTCCTCAAACCCAGTTTTCTGGGTTGCTTGCAAAATCCAAGAAAATGAGAAATTATCCTCAAATTTCTTGATGTCTCATCAAAATTGTTTTACAAATGAGATAAACCAATAATGCAGTAGAATTACCAATAATCACATACAATATTAGGTTACATTCTTAATAAAATTGAACAAAAATCACAAAAATAAGATCTAAGCATCAAAATCTGATCTAACAAAAAACAAATTGATGCCTCATGGTGCCACAAAACTGTGCGAAATGAGAAGAAAAGATACAACGTTGATTCAGATGACTTGAAACTCCTCAATGTAGTAGAAACTGAAAGTGGGATCGAGGAACCCAGCAAGGGGGTTCCACGAGGAACCTAACCCAGATCTGGGTTTCGCGCAGAACCCAGAAACTAGGCTCCGTGTGGAACCCATAAATTGGGTTTCACACAAAACCCAGAACTGGGTTCCGTGGGGAACCCAGATCTGGGTTCTGTGTAGAACCCAAGTTGTTAGGTTCCAGCAGGTATGATGAAGAAGGATGATGAAGAGGGATGCATGGTGAAGAGGATGGCAAAGAGAATGGCGAGGATGAGGATGAGGAGAAAGAAGAAGATAAATAAATTATAGTTAATTTCATTTAAATTCATTTAATTTATGAATTAAAAAATAAAATTTTTAATTTGTACATGTGGCACAAAATGCTTACATGTATCTATAATTTTACCCACCTAATTTCTACAATTTTATCCACCTAATTTTCACATCATTTATAATATTAATTGTATAAAAAATAATTAAATGATTTCGTTAATTAACGTGCCAGATAAGCAAAAATTTAACGGAATGACCAAAAAGGGGCCGGATTTTAAAATTTAAGGATTAAAAAAGGGATTTTTTCGGTATAGGAACCAAAAAGGTCTTCTCTCAATAGTAGAGGGACCGAAAAGGGTATTTAACTTTGCTGTTAAAAGATTGGACAAGATGGTGATAGACAGCGAGCAAGAATTTCAAGTAGAAATAAGTGCAATTGGCAAGACAAACCACAAGAATCTTGTGCAGCTGCTAGGATTTTGCAATGAAGGACAACGTTGGCTTTTGGTGTATGAATACATGAGCAATGGATCTTTAGCATCTTATCTTTTTGGGAATTCGAGGCCTCGTTGGTATAGAAGAACTCAAATTGCTTTTGGAACTGCAAGAGGGCTTGCTTATTTGCATGAAGAGTGCAGCAACCAGATCATACACTGTGACATCAAGCCTCAGAATATCCTACTAGATGACTCCTTGACAACAAGAATTTCAGACTTTGGATTGGCAAAACTTTTGAAGACAGACCAGACACGAACTGTTACCGCAATTAGTGGTACAAAAGGATATGTTGCTCCAGAATGGTTCAAAAGCAAGCCTGTCACAGTCAAAGTTGACATTTATAGCTTTGGAATGTTGTTGCTAGAGCTCATTTGTTGTAGGAAGAGTTTTGATCAAGATGCAAAGGATGAAAATCAAATGATATTGGCTGATTGGGCATACGATTGCTATGAAGAAAGGAGAATGTATATGCTAGTGCAAGAAGATGAAGAGGCAATTCAGGATATAGAAAGGGTAGAGAAGTTTGTGATTATTGCCGTTTGGTGCATTCAAGATGATCCATTGCTAAGACCCACTATAAGAGAGTCTCACAGATGCTAGAAGGAGCTATTGAAGTTGCTTTTCCTCCAAAATCTTTCGATTGATCAGTTCAATACTCATCTTCAACTGCCTCATTATCTATTGAAAAAAAAAAGATTTATTAGTCAATATTATTGAATAAATTTCGTTGGGTGAAATCTAGCTATTGTATGCTCATGAATATAAAGATGTTTTACAAGATAACGTCATGCAAACGTATTAATAAATGAATAGCCATCATTTCTTCCAAGTAAGTTTTGTACCAATATAAGATGAGGATCTTCCCTATAAGATATCCCAAAGTCGTCCAAATTTTTAATTTTTGATCTACGTCAAAAAATTTAAATGAGATTTATAAAGATAGCATATTTCAGTTTTAAAGTCTATGAAAACTTGCAAGATTTCTCTTATAGATAGCAAACTTTAGAGAACTAACTTTATTCTAAAGGCACATGTTAATAGCATGCTTATTGTATTTTTTGTTAATTAAAAATTTAAAAATTAATATTAATTTTAACAATTGTTGAATTAAATTCATATAAGTAGAAATGATACTAAAATTAATATTAATTTTTATATTTTTTATGTAATTAAAACAAAAAATAATAAATGCAACATCAATCTCTACCTATTCATACAACTTAGAAAAAAAAAATTACTATAGTTACAATTTTACCTAATATTATAAGTTTACAATATAATGTGTCATTTTATAATTAAATTTTTTTCATTGAGAAATCCACTCAGAATATTATATGTATTCATTTATTTAATATCATGTCATACTTATTTAATTTTATATCACAATAATAAATTTACAATTTCATTAATATTCTAACTATAGGATTATGTACTTAAAACCAACCATTAACGTAAAGCCATAAAGTATTTATAACAGAAGGAATCCAAGGCCTGGTTTGTACAGAAGAATTGAAATTGCTTTTGGAACTGCAAGAAGGCTTGCTTATTTGCATGAAGAGTGCAACAATTGGATCAGATATTGTGACATCAAGCCTCAAAGTATCCTACTAGATGATTCTTTGACAGCAAGAATTTCAGACTTTGGATTAGCAAAATTTCTGAAGATAGACTAGACACAAACTTTTACAGAAGTTAAGGGAACAAGATGATATGTTGGGCCTAAATGGTTGATTGGAAACAAGCCTGTCACAGTCAAGGTTGTCATCTACAGCTCTGGAATTTTGCTGCTAGAGCTCATTTGTTGTAGAAGGAAAGTTGAGCAAGATTTAGAGGATGAAAAACAAAATGTATTAGCTGATTGGGCATCTGATTGCTATGAGGAAAGGAAACTGTATATTCTAGTTCAGGAGGATGAAGAGGCAATGGAGGACATTAATAGGGTAGAGAAGTTTGTAATGATTGCCCTTTGGTGCATTCAAGATGACCCATTGCTGAGACCCACTATGAAGAGAGTCTCACAGAAGCTAGAAGGAACCATTGAAGTTCCTTATCCTCAAGTCAATCCCTATTCATTAGCTTAATTTAAACCTACCAAAGCCCCATGATCAGTTAATAAAGGAGTGTGGTCAATATTGTTGGTTCTTCGGATTCATGGGGTGATCTCTGTTGATCTTGTGAAGCTTTCTTCTAGATATTCCTAATTACATGTTAGGTGAAGAAATGTGTTAGGGTTGTGTTTCACCTAAATTCTTGAACTCATGTATGTAGGGGTGTTCATATCCGATCCAATTTGATTGATCTGACCTAAACTGATCCAATCCAATCAAAAATCGATCCAAACCGATATAAAATTGGGTTGATTTGAATTATAAAATTTTAAAATTGATATAATTGGTTTGGTTTGTGGTTTTACCTTCAAACTGCCCGAACTGCTCGATTACAAAATAAAATCCAATTACAAAATAACTTAATTAAATAATATAATATATTTTTTTGTAGTATTTTAAAATTTCTTTTTCTTTTTTTACAAATTATATGGGTTTGATCTAATTACCAAATATAATGAATTAAATGATAATGTAACTAAAATATAACTTAATTAAATAATATAATATATTTTTTTGTAGTATTTTAAAATTTCTTTTTCTTTTTTTACAAGATAATAACTTCATTAACTTAATTAAAAAATAAAAATAAAACATCTCCATATTCTTTAAGTTATTTTTCTATTTTAATCATACGCTCTAACCCTAATTCTAAATTTCTAACTCTCCCTTCAGAACTGGTTTACGCTTTTACTATTAGAATCATAAATTTTTAATTTATTCTTAAAATAATCTTATGATTCTCCTAACTAAGTTTTAAATAAGTATCATTCTAAAAGTCTTAAAACTATATAATAAAATTAGTCTTGACATTCTACTATTCTTGGATATTTGATTTAGAAGTTTTAAATTTTGATTATGAATACTTCTAATCAATTTTAGTGATATTCATGTTAAATTTTATTCACTTTTAACAGGATTTAAAAGATAAGATTAAATTATTAGTGCATTAAGAAAAACAACTAATTTTAATCTTTAAGAATTATTTACGCTGTACTAGAAATTTGAAGTCATCTTTTATTGTTCTTGGTGCCTCTAGTGATGTAACAACAAAGAATTTTTAGATTTTTTTTCAATTTTTACAAATGTAAAGGAGTATAAGAACTCGTTTATAATTTGTACTTTTTATTATGTTTTTACTGATTTGTATATTAATGTGTTTTATGATTATGTTTTCTATTTGATGTTAAAATATTTTTACATTATTTTATATGTTTAATAATGTTAAAAACTGATCAATCCGACCGAACCACACCGATCCAATTTAAGTTGGATTGGTTTGGTTATCATATAATAGTGGATTGGATTGATTTAAAAATTTTATTAACTGATTAAATTGGATTTGTTTAAAATATATTAAAATCTGAACCAAATCACACCGCGAACACCTCTACATGTATGTTTTATGAAAGGAAAGTCACAAGTATTAACATTGCATAAATCTGGCATGAAAGCAAGCAAGGAAAGTGTGCAAAAATGGGCATGGAAGCAAACAAGAAAACTATGAATGCTGAAATCATTATTACAGAAATCAAGCAAACCAGTAATCAAGTTAAGAGCACAGATCAAGGAGAAACAAGGCAACGGTCCAATAACGTTATATTCCATGATTTTAGGCTAAACTATAGGATCTGAAATTTGTATCAGTACGTATATATTACTGTAACTAATGTACTAAAATTGTTTTGATTGAATACAACCAATATTCTTTTGTTCTTTGGTTCCTTGAAATCCTTCATGTTTATGTTTGACTGCATTATTCAATAAAGATTACACCACTCACCACAACCAATCTAGAAAAATTAAGATAAGTAGTTCTCTTATTAGACACCTACAGAATTCTTGATATATAGATATAGTTTTTAATAAGGTTTTGTAGAGATGGTAAACCTTGAGGTTGAGGTTAATTTTGAGCTCGACTCTTCAGTTTCGCTTCTTTAACGTCTAGTTCACAAAATCAAGAAAAACCACAGAACCATATTGCAATTTTAATCACAAGCAAAACCACAATTTGAAAAACAATTTCCAATTTCAGAAAAATAAAAAGATACATGATGGACAAAGGTTGAAGGACAGAGCAATACCTTCAAAATTCAATTGCACCCAGACATCCTAAGATTTCATAATTAAATTACTTGAGCAT